CGGCGGGGATGGCTTCGGTTGAAGCCTCCCCAGTTCCATGAACACATTTGGATTGAATTCTTTTGCTCCTCCCCATCCCGTATAGTCTCCTTCCAACAACGGTCTCGTTGTTGAATCATATGTAAAAAAGCATGGCATTACTTAGTTGGGTCCTGAACTTTATACCATCTATTACTTTTCATTTTACTTTAACAATTTAACGCAATGTATTAAGGTATTTTACGCATCCTACTAGCGTGTGTAAATGAGGTATGATGCTTGTCAGCTGATCTGACGCAGTGCGAAGGTCGAACGAACCAATAGTTTGAAGGAAAGGGCTACATGCATCGATACTACAAATTGCGGTGGTGTCGATCCAGTTCTGGAACAGTAGTCTGCACACTGAAGGTGCAAAACACATTGAACGATACAGCGCCCCACGCACAAGATACACTGCCGTCCACCCTCCTTCATGTCCGTCGACCTAATACGTAGTTGAACATTCCATAAGTGACTGCCAGTCCGTGGCCTTAAGCAGCCCAAGCCTGCTTTGCAATCCGAGGGAGAGGATTCGAGCGTGCGCATAGGGGACCGGACGACCCTCACAGTATTCTTAGCTTACGTGTGACTGGTGGTAGTTGCGCTGTAGCGAAGCGACGGGAGTGCGTACCGCGTACTGTTAATGCCAGAATAGACTGATCACTGAGTCTTTCATGGCAATTCCGATCAGGAGTAGAGAAGCAGGGGAAATATTCGACACTCATCGTACATACAAAGACGTTTCGTGAAAACCTCAGGAAGCATCTGGTAAACGTAGACTCGGCGTTGGGATTCTCCCAAATAAGCTCTGCAACGACGGTGTTACTACTACTTGGCAAGATTAACTGTGTAGAGGATGGGTTCCCGGTGAAGGGAAACTACCAAGGTAGGGCAGTTGCGCGCATGAGGATGTTCCAGGATTTGAAGATCAAATGGACGATTAATGCATTACATACATGGATGAAGTCCAACCGAACTTACACTGATTCGGCTCTGAGAGGATCAGCGAGTTGCCGCAATAAGATACCCGTGAGGAGTTCGGATGCAATGAAAAAAGGCTAATACCCCGACAACTTTCACACCCAGTCCTCTGAACGTTCTTAAAAACGAGACAGTAGACAAAAGCAGATTTGAGGAAAACTCTTCGGTGCTAAATGGAGCAGACAGGCCACTCGCTAACATTTCTAACTCGTTTTCTGCGACGGCGCATTCACGCACCTTGGTTCATTTTGACAGTGGACTCATCGAATCAATTCCAAAGCGGGAAGGTGCGACATTAACGTCCCACATATAGGCTCGATTGGCTCAGCAAATGGTAGTGTCACAGCCGGCCTGCCGACTTGCTCTCGAAAAACGTTCTGACAAAAGCGTAGTGGATGTATGAGGGAACAACACCAAATCTATCTTAGTCATTGTCTCCCCAAATGAGGACTTTCTTGAGCCCATGCTTCCAACTAATTCCAGGACAGCTTGTCACGGACAAGCTCACATGGAATACGCAACGGAATCAAGATGTGCTTTAAGCAAATGAATTGACGCTTCAAAAATCCATCTACAGTTCAGGCATCTCAAATTAGCGTACACAGCAAAAAAGATCCAAACGTCTTCCTCATGGTACGTTAAAAATATTTTACTAGGGGATCTGGCTCATCCACCTCATGCTTCTGTGACAAACAGAGGTCCTATTTGTCGAGATACTGAAGAATCAAGGGTTATTAGTAGAGGCGACGAGTGAAAAGCCTGACGCTTGGTTGAAGCCAGAGGTGTAGGCGCCATGCGTGCGCATCAGGGCGTGATCGGAACGCAAGCACGTATCCCATGTCGATCGATAGCCTAGGGCTGAGATACAAAAGAAAGTGCAAGTAAGTCGGTTTAGTTCAGTTAAACAAATGTGATCCGGGAACCGAGATGTGACGGATCCAACTCGTGTCACCAGAACGACAATAGATAAGAACGGCAAATACGCAAATAAAGCGTAATAAAATAGAATTAAGAAGAAAGCGCGTTAATTTAATCGGGATGGAACGGAAACAACGGCTAAATACAATAAACTGAATGTGGAAACGCCACTACGCTACTGCGTCATATCTGATAGTTGCGAATCGCTGGGGTGGGCCATTCTAAAGTCCCATACAGAGACGGGATTTCTGGAGATCCAGCATTTGCTATCGAGCAGTTTTACCCATGGAAGATGCCACCCCAATTCGTGGTGGAACGTCGGTGACAAAAGTGCTCGGCTCGGAGAACCCGTCAACATAAAAAAGAGTCAACAAGAGCTACAGGTATTCCGTTTTATGGCTCATTTTATTTAATCACTAATTCTCCGACGGATAAGATTCGGCCTTTCCCTCACATCGCGTAAGCAGTAAAGCTGGAAACTCCTATAAATTGCAAGCAGGAATTACGTAGCTGACAATAATTTGATTCGTGTGTACTTGTCGATAGTAAAGGTGGGACAAGAAATGATGTAGCTGACGGAATTGCAGCTGAAATCGCAGAAAAGGGAGGTAGATGTTCATGGCACTACGAATGCGTGCCTATTTTATCTGGTCATGCCTGACTACTGGGTACTTTAGAGAATTTGGGTTAACACATCTCGAAAAGCGCTAGGAACACTTGGGACAAAAGTCCTGGCTAGGTCAAGCCGTTTTCGAAGACGTTATTTGTTAGTATTGGATTGCAAGGCTATAGTAGTAAACACGAAAGCGTGGTATAACCATACCTTAAGCGAGTCTTGGTGGTCGCGTGGCAGCGAAGCGTCGGTACGAAGTGCCGACGTACAGCTAATGCCTTTTAGGTTTCTGTATTCCTATATGCAACCTCGCTACCAATTAGTGACAGAAGGCAACAGCAGTACACGGGTACGCCATAATGATGCTTCGATTTCAGGCGACCACAACCAGACGCGCGCAGGCTGGAAATACTGTGACGCCCCCCGCCGGTAACTACTCAGATTCGAACAGATGATCTTTCAAGTACAGGGCAGACAACCCTGGCAAACCCCATTTGTCGTGGGGAACCCAGGAGACGGTTTCTCCTAGACCCTTACATGGCCTCGAGAGTCACGGTAGTGTATAATGAAAAGAAATTTAGCCGGCACGTCTTTCATGGATAGGCAGTGTCGCAAGTTGGCGTGGTCAACAGAGTCGAGGGCGGCTTTCAAATCAATGAAAACCACCATAGTCGGTCGTCTGCATGCATGCCTCTGACCTAAAGCATGGCGAAGGGTAAATATTTGGTCGATACAACCACGACCGGAGCAGAAGTCAGCCTGACTATTACCGATTCGGCTCTCACGGGGACCAGTAAGTCGTCGAAGAATGATGCTTGTGATAATTTAGATGCAACAGAAAGGTCTGAGTCCTGAGGACGGACCTCAATATGGCAACAGGGTATCCCTGCGTCAGCGTCCGAGCATTGAAAGTAGGTAGGTTGAAATGACAACGGTGTGTTAGAAAAGGTTTGTCGGAACACTTGGGCAGTGAACCTTCGGGTTTGAACTTCTAAGCCATGAGACAAAAAACCGCGGGAGGCAGCATGGAGTCAGAAATGAGAGGGAAATATCAAGAATGGAGTGACTGAAAAAGCGTATGTACAGTAACTAGTTAGTAGGGCGACAAAGCGCGTTTTAGGTCGTTAAGATACCAGCGCCCCAGCAGAGAATATTGTTTTCATAAAGTAAAGAAAGTGAGTAGAGGACAGTTGAAAGATTCGTCCGCAGCATGTTTTCACGTATACAGTAATGCCAGGCCCTTCCCTTCTCCCGACCGACCGACTTCTATCAACGGGTTTGTTTTCGTAAATAAAGTTGCTCTCACATCTTCGTATTGCTATTATTGTTCAAATGACACCGGTCCAACATTTTGATCTCATTTGTGCTCTTTATTGCTTCGCCTAACCGACCAAACAGGTGCTAGCGAGGAATCCGCAGGCAGCAATTGTTTGGCGAGGTTGTGATAACTGTGGTTCATTTCAGGTTCATTGATTCGGTGAAAAATGGAAACCTAGAATCATCGACATGTTATTTCAATCGGAAAGTCCAGGTTATGAGCATCAGCCGCTTCAGATAATGGTCATGCCGCTCTTGGTTGACCACCTTTTGGCACATACCCAGTTGGCACAGGTGGACGGTTAGTTGTTCTGAGTGTGTTACCGGTCACTCGTACAAATATGGAAAGAAAAAATAGCGCGATTTGCCTAACTGTGACATGAAGAAGAAGGGAAGAAGACATCAGCAGTACGTACACAGTACCGACGCTTCGATGTCGTGCAAATACCTACAGTCGCACGTGGGCTAAGAATACTGCGAGGGTCGCCCGATCCGTACGCAAGCTCGAACCCGCGCCCTCGGATTATAAGACAGGCTTGTGATCTTTTAGACCACGGGCAGGCTAAGTGTGATATTAACTATAACGCAACGTTAGTGCCACCGAAATTAATGTATAGTCGATTATTTTCAATAAAACTGCACGATGTTAACGCTTGGTGATTGGTTTGAGTGCCCCTGGCTATAGTGTGACACATTTTGTTCACTAATCAATTAGTTAAAAGTTTTTGGAGGTAGCCTTAGGTCTGCGTGATAACGATTTCGTAACAGATTGTTGATTAGCATAAACAGCATTTTCAACAAGGAATGGTGTATCCACGGCAGATGTTATGATGGAAAAGTTAGTGGCCGTCATGTGATTGAAATGTGCCTCACCGGGACTGCCAGAAGTACAAAAAAGGTCACTCAGGGTGCTTCAATGGCCACTCCAGCGTATACTAATCCGTACCTCGTGCTGGGTGGGTAATCAACCGATTAAACCAAATTCCAAAAACGTTGTGACATCCAGTTTTATAATTTGATATTGAGCATCAAAATATTGATCAGCTGCATATTAGGAAGACTGGAAAAGTGTGCAGATATTTTCCACATTCTCAACGCAGTAATAACGCAAAACCCCCAAAAACTAGGGACACGAGTGTTTTAATGAACTCACCATGGTCTACGTGGGCTAATATGCAAATGTTTCGAATAAACTTTCCAGAACTGGAAAGCGAAGAGACAGTAGCGGAGCGCTTCACGGACATATAAACAGAGGCTCGACCTTGAAATGCAACTGGTCAGGTCGTGAGATGTGTCTAATCAAGGATTCCAAAAGCTGCGTCCGATTTGTACGTAGGCCGTACTAGATCTGTGGTGCTGAAATGTAGAACGAACAACTCGTAAGCGCTTGGATAGTTTCATAGAACCAACTAATAAGTGACGGAACTGCATGGAAAATAGCCCAACACCTTGTGGTGAGCAGGGTGTTATTGTGACAGCTGCCCATTGAGGACCGATGTTAGTAAGGTTAGATCAGGCTCCAAGGGCGATACAGACGTTCGCCTAGAGCGTCTTGCTTCTTAGACCGACAATGCGAAAAGGCCCCAAGCACTTCGACGCTTGATTGACTTTTCCGGTTTCTGCAAAAGAAATGAAACAGGAACAAAAGCAATCCTTGAACTTTCATGGATCAAAAATAGAATCAAAAAGGAAGTCTCACTGCTACAGATTCCAATAAAATTACAGTTCACTAAAGAGATCTAATCAAGATCTATCTAGACCACACATGAAAGCCACTACAATAGTACACCATATTAAATAAGAAGTTTATTCCAGTTACACGCTGCGGGTAGAGACTGGACCTTAAGGATGTGTGGTGGTTTGCGTTCCCCAACGATCCATTGAGAGGCAAGCTCAGTCTTCTAGCCCGTGGGTTGAAGTGAAAATGGATCCTTATTCCTTAGAGTGGACTCTTTGTAACCCAGCGCAAAAACTCCGTAGACTTGCGAACAAGTTTTTGAACCAAAAGCTGTGGTTGAGAACCTTGGTCGAGCTCCTGTCTAGGTCTTGGTAGCTTTTCAATATCCTGCAGATACAATAAGATGGATTTTTCTTCTAACGATTTTTTAATGCTCTGGTCGTCACAGTGGACAATCAACGGCTCCCAACCTGCTACACTGAGCAGTGGATAAGCAGAAATTAGCACAACCAGTGGACGCGGATGTCCGGTAGCGACGTCGCAGATTATCGTACCTATAGACGAAGGAAGCGATCTAGGTACCAACTTTAACGTGGACTCTTCGCAGGATGACATTAAGTCTTTTTCGGCTTGCTGAGCAGCGGCCATAGCTGACAGATTGAGCGACTGATCGGTCGGAGCCAGAGAGTTTACACTTGAAAGCGTGTCCGCCACGACTTTACCTTGCCAGACACGTGTTGGACGTCCGTCGAAAACTGAGACACGAAAGCTAGATGACGAACTTCACGCGGAGTGTCGGGGCGAAGGGTTCCGGAAGGCAAAGACGATTGGTTTGTGATCTGTAAACATCGTGAAATGATTACCTTCGAGAACGCGACGAAAATGGCGAACGGCGGAGTATACGGCGAGTAACTCGTGGCCAAATGTGCTCTATTTCGACTCGGCTGTCTGATGAGGTCGGTAGAAGAACGCTAGTGGTTGCCAATTACCTTGGGAAAACTGCTGTAGAACAGTGCCGATTGCGTTTTCCGAGGCTTCGACGGCTACACTGATTGGAGCGTTCGAGTTGAGGTGATAAAGCATGACGGCGGAAGCGAGTGCTTTTTTGCTAGCTTCGAATGCTTTTCGTGCTTCAGGCGTAAGATCAACTTTACCGTTGTTGCGTCCAAGCAGATCGGTGAGCGGTTACATAAGCTCGGCGCGGTGTGGCGGCAATCAGCGATAGTACTTGACCATGCCGTTGAAGCTTCGAATGGCGGCTAGAGTCGTTGGATGAGGAAAGTCGCGAGTTGTTTGGACCCTGTTTTGCAAAAGACGAATACCCTCGGGATCAAGTTGATGCCCGAGGAACTCAATCGCGGCTGCATGAAAATGCACTTGTCGGGGTTGACGGTGACGTTGTGCGCCTTCAGCCGTTCGAAAAAGAGTCGTAGATGTGTTCGGTGTTCCTCTTCCGAAGAACTGGCCACCAAGATGGCGTCGATGTACGGGTGGACGAAGTCGAGTCCACGTACGACGGAGTCGATGAAGCGTTGAAATGTCTGCGTGGCATTGCGCAGACCGAATGGCATTCGTAGAAACTCGAATAATCCAAACGGTGTACTAACGGCGGTTTTCGGTATGTCTTCGTCGGCGATCGGGATCTGATGATAAGCTCGCACCAGATCGATCTTTGAGAACACGCGAGCGCCATGAAGCCCGGCCGTAATATCCTGTATATGAGGAATAGGATAACGATCCGGAATTGTTACGTTGTTGACGGCGCGGTAATTGCCACATAGTCGTCAGTCTCCTGACTTTTCCGGGACCATGTGAAGGGGCGAAGACCAAGGGCTGCTGGTTGGTCGGACGATGCCATGTTCGAGCATTGCATGAATTCCGCACGAGCGTTTTTGAGCTTCTCCGGAATCAGTCTTCGGGTTTTAACGGAGACGGGCGGAGCCTTGGTAACTATGTGATGCGGCGTACCTGCGGCTGCAGTTGACAGAGACGATGAAGGTCGGAAGACTTCAGGGAAACTCTCAAGTAGCGCTTTACCGGTCGGTGAGTTGGCAGTGGCGTACACCGGGCTTAGCGATGCTACATCGCTGGATATTCCAGCGACGGAAAGTTTCATTGTCTGATCGATGAGACGATGCCGTTTAGCATCGACGAGCATGTCGAAGTACTTAAGAATATCCATCCCGATAATGGGATTTTGGACGTCAGCGACAAGGAATGCTCATGTAAAAGAGCGTCGCGGGCCGAGGTTAAGCGTACGTGAGCAATGACCGTAGACGCGGATGGTGGTGAGAGAGAGCCAGTCACCATTCCGGTTGTCGTTGGGATCACGTGGAAGGATGCTGACTTCTGCGCCAGTGCCGACGGGTTAGTGAACTCCCGTTTGTCGATCGGTGACGAAGAATAGGCGACTGTGTTGACCAGGTACGTTCGTCGCCCCTACGTGTTGGTCGGCCTGTTTCTCCTGCGAGTTGCGTTTGAAAGAACACGGTGGGTGGCACGACGGCCTGCGAACCAAATCGTTGACGGTACCAGCAGTAGGAAGACATTCGGCGCGATGATTTTGACAATGATTTTGATCGAGATGGACGTTGACGATTTGAAGCTCGACATCGGCAGCCACTCCCAGAAGTTGTAAAATCGGTAAACTTCTTGGCGAGTGCGGCAATCTGCGCTTTCATCTCGGCAATATCGTCTTTCGGCGTAGATCGAACTTGTGAAATCTGGCCTTAGAATTCCAAGTTGGTCTGTGTTATCGGCCATCAGCGTTAAGGACGCGCCAGCATTTGCGTAGAGGATATTGCACATTTCACGTGGCAATCTAAGCAGCCAGAGTTCCTTGAGAAATGTGTCGTCCACCATGTCGGGTTTGACTAAACTTTGCATCTTGCGCAATAGCTGCGATGGCTTGAGGTCACCCAACTCCGTTTCGCTCAGAAGCTTCGTGATACGTTAACGATCTGAATAACCTGTCCTTTTGAGAACGGCGGCTTTAATTTCCTCGTAAGTTTTCCGCTCTGTTGGCAAATTGAGGATATGGTCGATATCATCGGCGACGTGCGGACGAAGCGCGGAGACGACGTGGCGATATTTGATTCTTTCAGATCTAATGCCATGAAGTTCGAAAAGTGCCTCTAACTGAGCAAACCAATGTTTTGGATTGCTTTCGCGAAAGGGCGGAGTGGCGATGTTTACATTTGCAATCTGGCCGTCGAGGACTGGGTGACACGTATCCATAGCAGAAAAAGGATACAAAGCGATATGGAACCCGAAATATGCACAAAAATATGAAAATGGATGGACGTACCGCAAAATTGAATGAACCTGAAAAGAAAAATTAGTAAGTGGCTTGCCAAATTTTCGGTCAGGGTCACCAGTTATAGCGGAATCGTTCGGTCGCTATATATCATGTTCGTCCCGCCTCAAGGAAAAGTCGGAAAAAGAAGGATATATGGGCGAGATAGACGTTTATTTTCGAAACGTACAATCCCGCTAGCTGAAGGCACCGCAAAATGATTCTAGCTAGGGGGAAGGTATAGTCGCCAGCCGAGACGCAGCAAACGCCCATCGTGGCGGAAAAGCCAGAATTGGATCATTGGAATGTAGAGAGCAGAAGGAGAAATCTTTCGCCAGCTCCATCGTCTCACGTTCGTCAAAGGGATCAAGGTGAACATTGCAAGTCGGTACCAATGGAAGCGCTGCATTGACACAAAAAGCAACAAGATCCGAGTTTACTCAACGGGTAGGAATCCAATCGATGTTTGAAACATTCCTCCGACTGCGCATCAACGACACACAGGTAGCTTGTTCCATTCGTTCACTACACTGGTAGACAGAGTGACGTCAAAACGAATCCGAAGTCTCCTTTGTTTAAACAATTTCCAATGGTGACCCAGAGTCGAACTGAAAGAATTGTGTGGAAAGAAATTCTGCAGTTAAGTTCCAAGTTCACCTCTAACGATACGCCGTGAGAAAATCAAATCCCCGCGATCTCAACGATAGGATAGGGAGAACAAGTTCAGGCGCTGAAGACGATGTGAATAAGGCAGGTTTCGCAACCCCAGAATGGATTTAGATCCTCTCCGCTGAACTTTTCAATCAAGTTGCGTTCAAACTTGGAAATAGGATAAACAGCGGGCAGCCTATACTCAAGAACCTGACGTACATGAGAAGTGAACACGAGCCTGAAGATCTCCGGAGTCAAGCGAGAGAAGGATCGTCGTATGGCGAAAAACAATCTGTTGGCAGAAGCGTCTTTCCTCAAGGTAGCTTCAGTCGATTTTAAGTCTGGGGTCACGACGCCAAGGTCCGTCTCACGATTAGAGTTTGGCAGCAAAAACCCACCGATATGATAAATCCCAAATGGTTCGGAGGCACCGATCGAAAGAACGGAACATTTATCGTGATTTATGGGTAATTGACACCTGATCGACCAACCATGCAACGAATCGATTCGTCTGGATGACTCAAACACACGTAGTCATGGTGCGAACATGCAAGCTTCCTAAGTTGTCTATGTACAGAATGATATTATATTTTAATTATATCTTACACAAACAGCACAGTTTCCCGGTCACTACAGTCATATCAACAAGTGCATCCAACCGAATGTGTTCATAGTTCTTCGGACCCAAGCCCAAAATTCGAAGCAACAACCTATGCTAAGTTGAAAGTGATAGTCTTCATACCTCTTAACCAAATCATCGCTTGGCATCCACTCTTCCAGCCACCCTCAGGTTGCGTAAATAACGCACAATGCAGGAGTCGGTGCATGGGCAAGCGCAACACGTGGCCCAGCCATGGGAGTCTGGTGCACGATATAACATTGCTGAGCGGTTTACTCGCTGTTCCTGCACCAAGTACGCGACGCCGAGCATGCTCATTGCCCTGGTGGTGGTCCCACCAGACATGAGCTAAGTCGGAACGTCGTGTCCGCCACTGGCGATGAATGTGATTTTGACAGAGTGATAATGGTACAAGTGCAAGTGAGACTGGAACGATATAACATTGCTGAGCGGTTTACTTGCTGTTCCTGCACCAAGTACGCGACGCCGAGCATGCTCATTGCCCTGGCGGTGGTCCCACCAGATATGAGTTAAGTCGGAGCGTCGTGTCCGCCACTGGCGATGAATGTGATTTTGACAGTGTGATAATTGTACAAGTGCAAGTGGGACTGGAACGATAGGATTATCCCGTGAGTGTTCCTTCTTCAGCGGGTCGTTGAATGAGGAGTTGGCGAACTTTGAAATATTGATGGACCGAAAACAAAGACCACATCACATCCTGTCCAACCAACTAATGCCCACGTATCCTGCCCTACCAGTCCCTGCTGGGCCGGTAACCAGAAGTAAGAAAAAGTGAACTCGGAAGGCAAAAGAAAAAGTGGAAAGAGCTAAGCAAGTAGAATACCAAGATTTCAGAGAGATTTGGAAACAATCGATTGTTTCCAAACCTCTGTGAACTCATGACTACTCGATCGGTTCCAAGTATCTTCCAAAAATTAGAATACCAAGGTATTTGAGTCATTAATAAAAAGAACTGAAAAGTGAAGGTGCGTCAGCTAGGAAAAGTTTGCTGTTACCACCCAACAGCATCGAGCTGGCGCGCAAAACCCTTAACCGTAGGTTCCCTAACCACGTGATCGGGAAGCGAATTCCAGCGATCTATAACTCGGCGCGACAGACGAGTTTCCGTCCTAATCCTATCAGACCGTGGTTCATACAGTTTCAGTGGGTGACCGCGAAAATTAGGTAACGTAGCGGGACTAAATAGCCCTGACAAGTCCGGGCCAATCTTACCCGTCAAAATAAGATAAGTGAGAATCAGGACCCCTCTTAAACTCCGGTAGTGCATTGTGTACATCCCCAAACTGAGCAAGCGTTCAGGATACGTCTTTCCCCGTAGACCCTGCACTAACCGTGTGCCCACTCGTAACACCCTATCCAAGTCCATTTTGTCTAGGATAAGACATGGTGGACAAGCCTGGATACAATATTCCAGGTGGGGTCGGACGAATGCCGAAAATAGCTTCACAAACAAATTGGCCGTTAGGATTCAAAAAGAGCGGCGGATAAACCACATCATATGAAACCCTCGACAAGCAGAATTCTTCCAACTGTCACTAGTGCTGATGAGTGTATGACCCCTAAATCAACCTGCTGAGTGACAGCAGGGAGTTCACCACCGCCGACAACATATCGGGTGGGAGGATTAGCAGCTGGGATTCGGAAAACAGAGCACTTGGCCCTAATGATGGGCATCAACCATAAGATAGACCATTCCCAGAGCCTATCCAAGGCACGCTGAATTGCCTCAGGACCCCTCGGGGTATCCACAATATTCCAGAGCTTAAGGTCGTCAGCAAACATTAGTGATGACACCACTAGCGCTCCCGGCAAGTCATTTATATAGATCGCGAACAACAATGGCCCCAATACCGAGCTCTGCGCAGGACAGCTTGCCTGAGCGAAAGGCAACGCCCCACCCGTACGCACTATTCCATCCCCACAAGGAAGGCAGACACACGCGACCAGATATCCCGTAAGATCTCAACTTTAATGGGAGCCGAAGATGTGGAAACAGTTTTAAAAGCTTTAGAAAAATCCACGAATAGCTCGTCTACAGTGTGGTCACTGTCTACCACTTTGGTCCAGCTTTCACGAGCTACAAGTAGATTAGCCTGACATGAAAATCCTTTGCGGAATCCTTGTTGCGCAACACTGAGAAGATTGAATCTATTCGGGTGGTTCTCCACTGAATCCCTTAGCAGCTTTTCAAACAACTTGACTACTACGCTTGTCAAACTGACAGACCGGTAGTTCGCGGGTAGAGCGCGCATGGCGAAGGTCCGCAAGATGGCATATTTTTCATATAAAGCCACCCAGGTTCTAATCCAAAATGCCTATGGCACCAAGTACGTTAATTAGACAAGCCCCTAACCACTCTAAAGTTTGGCAGAATTGGCTTCGCATTTACGTGAAAGTAACACAAGCGTAGTCTAATGGAAGAGAAACTGTCCACCGCGTTCAGACTCAGAGATTCGTCATGACGGCATGAGAAATGCTGCCAACTGGGTGAAAAGTGACATCGAATGTGATGCGCTGCAGATGATGGTTGGAAGCGAATAAATGTTCCATACAACGCATCCACAATCAGTAAGTTCGTAGTGAAAAGACGACGGAAGGAGAACAATGCAGCGAAGATGCAGTCGTGAGAGCGAACTTCGAATGTGGTAGTAAGATCTTCAATGAGGCACACTGAGAAGAGCAGTTCGAATATGTGTGTTGTACATGGAGTCGCAAATACTGCTCCACTTACCTCCGCACATGGATCAGACTTGTCTAACAGGCGCAAACCCTGTTCGAGACGTTGCGAATCTTCGGGGTTCGCTGCAGACGCTGGTTCAATAGCAACCGACACGACTGGAGGACCGTACCACAAAGCAAGTCCACTTAACGTGGTGGACGGAGCCGAAAGGATGACGCCCTCGTGTGATCTCACCTCTTTACTGGCCACTAGGGAGAGACGACTAACCAGTAAACCGGATTTGGGTAAGAAGTTGATCAGATCCGTCCCAGTCAGACCGACGATATTGCCCACCGGAACCGGGTGATTGACTTCGATTAAATCACGCTGACCACCCATAAATTGAATGACACGCTCCACCACTGCCACATAAGCGTGCTTCAAGTATGTGACACCGGAATGTAGGACGTCAGTTGAATCGTAGCTGGAGCCTGAGGATTCGAGGTCCGGTGACTTGATACAGTTCGTGCTGGAAACTTGATCTAGACGATTTGTGTCACCTTCAGAAGAAAGGAAACGTTGAGGACCATCTGTTGTGTTGATACGTATCGGTCCGACGGGGAGATCCGAGGGATCAGAATCCATCAAGTAACGTGGAACCTGCAATTATAAGACAAGAAAGTCGGTTGAAAAACGAGCGGCAACTACTATGGACCATTATTGAACTCGAAATGCAATAAACGTCACGGCTAACTGATTAAAATCATCCGATACACCGCATTCAAATCATTAAGCTTTTAATTTGAAAGTACATGAAAGAACACTTGTTAGGGCCAGCGTAAATTGCTCGCTGAGCACTTCCTCGGGGTGCATTGCATGCCGTGGCTGCATCAAGCTGGACGAAATCACGAGGTGGCCAGTCAATGGTGTGGCACAAGAGTATGAAGAAAGTGACCAAGAGACCTAGTCAGACTAGTGTGTGCCGTCTTCTTGGATGGGGTCCTTGATACAATGTATACCAGTAATTGTGGACTCTATAGGACACGACGTAGTCGCGCATTCAGAGCGCTCCTTGTGTTTAGCCGTTAGTATTCCATCCAGATAAATAATACTCATCGCCTTATTTGACTCCTTCATTTATATTCTCTTTGCGTTCCATCAGTTTCGCACCATGGCTATTTGTTTCAAGACAGACAGTGCAAGTCGTGGTGAGTGGATTCACCGCAACTCGGTGCCCGGATCATACTGGTCTAACTGAACTGGACTGAAAGTGCCGTTAAAGAATCAATTCATAATACCTTAGGAACCCATAAAAGGTAGTGCGTTAGAGTGAAATCAAAGTTAAAGAAAACGATCAAGCACATTATCGTCACGATCAACAGAACTGCGTGCAAAGTTCGTACACTGACGGTAGGTGGCCGCTCAAGCGAAAGGAACTCGACGAGAGATCGGTGAACGAGAAATCAACGACAAATCACACCATGAGCTTAGTACGATCGCACATGAGTAAGAGGGATATGTTGGAGTTCGCTAGACGCAGCACGAGCGAAAAGCAGCGTGCTCGCAAATAAGAGCGAACCGGGTTGATCAGGACAACAGTGAGTGAACAGCACAGGTGAGATAACGAGTCTCAGCTGGCGACAAGGTGTATAATGGTGACTGATCATGCGAATGAGCGAAGACGATGCCAGCTGAGTGGACAGAAAGTGAATCAAGTGTCACCTGATCGGAGCAGGATTGAACGGGCCTGATGGACGACGCCGAATTGAGACAGCCTAACAAGAACCTGGTTCAAGGTGGCCCTGGACGAATCGATCACAGCGAACGGTGCATCAGAGCCAATGAACCTAAGCAGTCGATATGGGAGGTGACAACGGGGAATAGTGAATAAAAGGTTCTGGGTGCGATGGACAAGTACTACAAAAGAAATCGAGACCAAGGACGCACTAAAGAAAACAGACAGGGCGCATACCTTGCTGCCATCGAATTTGGGTCCAAGCACAAATAACCGCTGTCCTGGGTAGATGGAGCCGCTAAAGATTCGAGCCAGCGCCACGAACTCCATAGTGGCCAGAAGATTAATAGGTGTTGGAAGAGGGGGAAGTGCAGATTGCGAAGACCCAGAAGCAGTCAAAGTAGACTCTGGTCCGATTGGATGTATTGGTCCATCACAAGTGTTCATACTGGAAAGGAGTGGATGAGAAAGAGAGAAGACGGGTAAAAGTCAAAAAACGTAATCCTTACATTGTCGGAATACCAAACGCCAACCTGAGGTGTGCTAATCACATCCGGAATGACGCGAAATATTGCAGACAGAAAGAGGGTATAGTAAGATAAAGTGAAAGCATAAGACGGTATTGTGAAGTTAAGGACCATCGTCACTCATAGAGCTCGAGTCCCGTGTGATACCGGTATGCTCACACAGGAAGGTGCCAGAGAGTACTAGGAGATGAACTATCCGGCAGTTCGTTGAAATAGCAAAGCAAACAAAATAGGTAGCTTGGATAATAAAATGAGACGAACGCCGGTAGATGCGCGGATTTCGTATTGTCTCATCAGTACCAAAGGAATAACAAAAGATTAGTTTATACCAACCAATCAAATGTAGTGAGGTGAACGGCAGCGATGGTCCTAGGAACAGGTCAACCGAAGGTCAACAACTGATTGTTTCTGCAGGTCTTAGCTGGGGCTCATCGCCCTTGTCTCGGCAAATCGCAGGAAGCGTGGATTGGGATGACGTACTGATATCCGAAACGGGGAGCCGGGGTCAATCTGGTGACGAGTCAACAAGACATGTCTGCTTATTGATGATGCTGGTAGCTTTCGTGGACACGGAAAATTGAGCGACCGATGACTGGCCTCACACTGAACCCAGTTGGGCAAGCGTTTCTGCACTCTGGAATGCAAAACCTGGTCAGTTCTGCCTATGTAACTGACGCCGTAGTGTGATTTGGCGCTGACAGGTTTAAATTCCGGGTTCTGTTGATCACCACAACATCTGCAGCGCAGTAGGTTACCTGAGTGGCACAGATTAAGCGATTGGTTCGCATCGTTGTGGTGGTGCTACCCTTAAATGGGAGCTCGAGATATACCTTTTTCGGCGGTCTGACTTTGCTATGCTTTTGAATGAAGCTTTTGAGATACCCGTTCTCCTTGAGTGTTCTGGTTATTGTCTCTATCTTCTCAGCCAAACAGCCAGCTAGAGCAAATACGTCTGACACGAGTGAACAAGGTTTTCACCAGTGCGCGGTTGTGGCCCATCGGTGTGAAACTGGCAAGGTGCGGATATTGACCGGACCATGTTGGTTTCCGGTAGACGGACCGCTTAACAAGCCCGGTATCCCTTCGGCTGATGATGATGTCCAGATACGGCAGGCAGTCGTTTGTTTCAAATTCATGACTGATTTTTAACTTGAGATGGATGCCATTAACCTGATGCAGCAAGCACTCAATTTGCAGTCCCAAAGAGCCAAATACGAGAATGTCATCAACATATCGTTTGTAGTACGGTAGTTGTGAGATCTCTCCACTTAGGCTCCTTTCCAGCATTATGATGAAAAAATCGGCCAGTAGGGTGCCTAACGGACTGTCCATAGTTACTCCATCGATTTGGCGGTATGAGCCTTGTTGGAAACGGAATTCAACGTTTTCTGTGCAGAGCAGCAGAGACTGTCTGAACAAGTCTGTCGGTATTTGCATACGGAAATTTTCGACATCAATCAACTGGCATATGTAATCGACTATCTCGATCAAAGGGACATTAGTAAACAATGATTGGACGTCTAAAGAGCACATGACCTTGGCGGCTAGGTTAATTTGATCGAAATGTTCAATGAGTCCGTGGGAATCATCCTTAAGGCCGTGTAGATTGAATTTTTGTCTGAGGAAGATTAATATTCTTACTAAACAACGCGCCAATTTATGCTGCAGGGAATTCACCATAGATAAAATTGGTCGGAGTGACATCCCTTCCTTGTGCATCTTTGGCAGTCAGCAACATTGTGGCATTGATGAACCATTCGGTTTAAGAGTCTTGGAAGTCTCGTGGTCGATGATGTGATGTAACAGAAACAATTCTAAATGGTGATTGATGCGAGACTATACCTGGGACAGACTCTCCGGTCGATCGATACGTCGAAATTTGCTCTCACTGTTCAGTATGCCCAACATTTTCAAATGGAGTCGTTTCTGTTCAATTTGACTGCAAATGTGGCGTCGCGCTTAGGCTGAGTACACCGCGAGGACGCCCGCTTCTACGCGGATTCGAACCGGTGACCTGATGATTGCAAGCTAGGCGTGCATACCACTCGGCCACCGGCCGACAGGGAAACACAGTAGTCCAGTGGGAAAACCAGAATGACGTACAGTACAGGCGTAAATCATTTCAAGGACATCCAAGTCCATTGAGTGAGGTGAGCACTCACCTCAACACTGGTCCAGAGAAAGTAAACTCTTAATTCTGGAAGCTGACCTAGCTGTTCTGGGACATTTCTAGATTAACATATAAATAGCTGTTGCCTCTTAAGCGAGTAGCGTATGTTTCGGTAGCCTGTCCTGCAACACCCTTTGACCTCTAAAATGGCTGGGAATGTGATCAGTGCGTTTGTGAGCACTACTGAACATAGTAACGAGTAACACTGCATACGTCGGCATGCAGCGGAACAGGACCGATACACCACCGGGATTCTAGCTGTCAACGAACGACCACTGAATGTGGTAGAGCGATTCAGTTAGGTTGGTAGCTGTGTCAACGTTGGTGGTCACATCAGTGAAGAAGTTATTGGACTGAACGAAACTTGGACTGGCATCTTGAGCGGAGCATGATGATTTCAACCGTCGTGTCTTAAGTCACTGTTGTGGGGACCCTAAATGCAGTTAGGCAAGAAACCGTCAAACGACATACGAAAGTCGCTGGGTCCTAGGTGCTCTAAAATCGGTTGATCAAGCGCTGCTTAGCAATAATGATTACGCGTATCTGAAGCTACTTTGATCAGATTCGACGGGGATTCAGTGATCGGCTGTACAGAAAGGACGAAAAACATGTCTGTCCAAACTCTGGATTTATGCCTATATTTCCATCCAGAAGCCAAAGATACCTGTGCTTAGTGATCGTAATCTTCGCAGGATCAGTTGCGTGTAATGTCAATGAAAATACTAGGTATTTATTTATTCAAGTCAGGTCAATAGAAGTTTTATATAGCCGAGACGGCATATTCTCCGCATTTTAGAGTATCCATTGCGCATGCTTTAGAGCGATATCATAAAAAGTGTGTATGGTTCAACTGGAGAATCGGCGTTAGGAGTGCAAGTGTCACCCAAATAAAGGATCTCAAATCTTGTGTTGTTGACGGCACAGTGTCAAAGACCAGTTTATCGATCCGGACAGAGGGTTTCACCAAGTTGCAAAACGCCTTTTGCGCGCAGTAGTATCTCAAAGTGCATTTTCAAAAATCCGCGAAGGACAGCAGTTGTGATCTTAAAACTAGTGGAAGGGAAGGAAAGCTCAGTGAAAACTGATAAATCCACAGTACAGTAAGTGGTGTTCCAGTGAAAAGGAAACGGACGATTTGAAGGCCCCGCCACCTTAGGTATAACCCGCACTACCGTAAGAATAGTGGCCAGAGAGTAATGCGTGGCATTTGGGAGAAAAAGTGTGGCTATGCGAACAGCAATGGTGAGGAGAATGGATAGAAAAGGCGCAATCGCCGGGTGGAAGTGTTGACAAGTTGTCAGTCCCTCAACCGTGTCACTCCGGAAGCCATGACTGCCGCGATTTGGATGTGCAGGGAAACCAAATGAACCACCAAATCGACCGGGTGCGCTCATTATGCACCATACGATTTCTCATTTCATTGCACTCTAGACACAATCGGTCTCATCCGAGTGCGGCAGGTTGCAACTTTAGATCAAACACTACACCATTTTTCACGCATGTTAGCGCATTGTACCAAGCTTTCAGCGTGGCACTCTTTCGAAATCGCGTGCAGTGCTGTCAAGTTAGCGAGGTTTCCTTCAGATAGGCATCAAAATAGATCAGAAGGTGGTGCTCGACCACTTTCATTGGTCTGTCGCTTATGCTGTGGGTTTCCAACCGGTGTCCCATTGCGTAACGTCACATGATCAATGAGAGTGTGTCAACGACGCCAAAACAGCGTCCTTAGCCTAGGTAACTTGAAAGCACTGCATGCGATTTCGAAAATGTGCCAAGCTAAAAGTTTGGTACAATGCGCTAACAGGCGTGTAAAATAGTACAGAATCAGATAGTCAAGAAAATGACATCCACAGCTCCAGTCATCCACTTGTCTAGGGGCGCACCAGTGTTGGACAATTGGGGGGAAGCACTGGCTTGCTCACAAACTGGCTCCAAACTCCAAATCTTGGGATGTGAAGGTCTGCACAGTTCCGGACGAACGCTGACGTAGGATTGAACATGTCTGGAATACGGGGTCACGCCCGCTGGCTTGATCGAGCCTGCTGTGCTAATGAAGTCAAAGGTTGTTCCTCTCTGGTCATTCGTGTCTCACCTGTCTCTCCTCTTCAAACGTGCAACTCGTTTGCTCGATCAAGTCCACTTTGTAAGACCTTTTTGATTTCCTTCACAACGGGCTCCATCAAATCAGGGGACGTGATCCCGTGTTCCGGACATGTTCAATGCCACGCATGCGTTCGTCCGGAACTGTGGTGACTTCGCCATACCTTCACATCCCAGGACTTGGAGTTTGGAGTCAGGTTGTGAACCAAAAATGCAAGCTGCCGCATTACGGATGAAACCGATTGCGTCTAGAATGCAATTAAATGAGACATAGTATAGCGATAGGTGTGAAAAGAAAAGTGGCATTGCGAAGTGAATATAAGATGACAAAACAACCGAATCACAGGAATGCATCGATAGCACACAAGAGGAAATTCGCAAAAAAATGTATAAAACAGACTCACGGTGCGTCTGGCGTCAGAAAAGATGAGGTTGACAACTGAATTTTATCGGTCCAGAATAATTTAGCCACGAAAACGATTGTAGGAGCATCAGGTGAAGAACTGGTGGCTTGGATGGCTGGAGAAAGATGAGGGAAATGATAATCTGTGAGACTGATAAGTGTGATAGAGGTAAGATGAAGTAGAAATACTGCGGGGGACGAGTTGTGATCGCATGAGAGTGAAACGGCGAACAGTAGCATGTCGCAAGCAAGTGAAAAACGTATGAGAACGTATTAGAGTGGTAGATCCGGTTATCAGACGCGTTTGGAAGTTAGATGTATGCGCTTACGTGCGGTGGATCAGTTGAAGTGTCGTAGGCCGCCGTAATAAAAAGGATAAGAGAAAATTGATCGAGAAACTAGTAGGTATATTCAAGAAGAGAAAAGCGGTCACGCAACCGTTGGGAACAAAGGAAAGAATGTAAGGGCGCCAATAAATTCGGCGTTGGGTCATGAGGACGCTACTTGTAACCACTGAGGGCCCCAATCAAGGAGAATGACAAGCTTCAGTCTGACTCAGTCCTAACATTGGTGGATTTGTCACAATGCCATGACATCGACCGGTCACTCCAAAGAAGGAGACGCGTACGCTGAGGTGTAGCCCGGAAAACAGCATTCGAGGTAAAAGAAAACTACTCCTGCGCGGCGCCAGAAAATAACTAACTCCAGCAGAACTCATTCGATGATTCCAACGGATTAGCAAAGTAATAGACAAAAATCGATGAACAACCAAAACCAATTCAGTATAGACGTTAGGTGGAAGTGAAAACGCCTCAGCCAGTGCCGCAATACATAAGAAAAGAAACACGCAACAGTGGCACGCCAGTTGAGCTACCAGTAACGGACGGGCATCGTTCCGAAGAGTTGCCAACAGGTTATTGTGCCGCAAGAACAGTTATATTTTGCTTAGGAAATGAGATCCTTGATGTTTCTAAAGTCCAATGATCGTGTCTTTGATTCAGATGCGAATACTGGTGTCATTAGTTTTCATAGGTAACAAAGTCATCATGAAAGGTCATAGAAGATTAAACGTTTCAAGCATGTAACCACCACAATGGATGACACAACTACCTAGGGATGTAGCACCAACACTGAACATTATCGCTAATTGACTGGATTCCCGTGAACAGCCTGTTTGACGAGATCAATTAAAATTGATTCTTATAGTAACACTAGAATAGGTTAGTTTACGATTTCCGCTATTGTTCCCACCGATTGCGGCCAAGGACGAATTCTACCAAGAGCTGCCTCGCAGCGTTCCCAGTACATATACCATTATTGTTGCAAGTAGCTCATCTGGACACTTCAGAAGTTGAGTTATGTGGTAAGGATGGGGTTAACTGAATGGACAGACAGCGGCGAGCGCCTGCCACAGCTATATGCGAACCGACTGTTGCTTGGTAGCACCGCTTTTATACACAGTGGACGCCGAAATGCCACTTGGCGTCCTCCTGTAACTGGCCAGCGATGGACTCAATAGATCACATTGCTATGTTACAGGTGGCGTGGTTCCACACTAGCTTGTCGGTCGTACAAGAATACTCGCATCGACTCTAATCATGATTTGGTAAGCTGTCGTTATACCATGAACTTTACCAACAACTCGACAACGGACTGAGAAATTATCCAGCCCGCCGATCAGGCAAGCCTAACAAGATGCTCTGAAAACCGAATATTTGCTCTCCCGCTTAAATGGCAGTGGAATAGGGTCTCGGGCCCCACGCACGATAATAAAGCATATACACTTGCAGCACAATCAATTGTCACAGTACCATTCACTGGATATCCGAGAGGTCGGCTGGATTTGAGCAAAATGAAAACAAACAAACAATTAAGTGCGAACTAAGGCGGAGCCTGTGCGCTGTGACAAGTAATCCTAATGGAGGAGGCAGCAGCAGTATGCAACTATCGCAGCTTCTTCCAAACGATCAGCACCCCTGGTGGTTCCAAGAGTCCAAGCGCTATCACGGACGCTATAATTCACAATAACGATTGCAGTCTGGCTCGTTGTGATGAGTTCGTTTGAGAGCAGTTCAGTCGATCCCCAGCTCCTGAGGTCTTTTCCTGGTGCAGGCCGAACGATGACCGCTTAATTTGAGGCTCTATCAGAGACCTATGCCCGAAGCGCAATCAAAGCCTAAAGATTTTCTGTAAGTGTTAGAAACGCTTGGGAAGAAAAGCAACGCTTGTCCCGCCGGGAAATTAACAAGAACCCAAACCGGAACTGAGATAACGGTGCTATTGAACAAATAATCATAGAAAAACAGGCAATACCTTAACGATTCCCAAACTCAAATGCACCCAAAGGTCCTTCAATGCAAAAGCAATCTCTGGGTCAAATCACCCAGGTCGATCCATGAACCAAAATACAGTCAAATGATCTCGCACAGAGCATAGGGAAACATGTAACGATGTACAGACAGGTCGTGGAATCTGACCAATGGCGCCGACCAATGCGGCTCTAATCAGATCAATACAAGATGGCCTCGTGTCAGGACACAACACAAGCGATTGGGTGATGTCAAGGTCAGTGGAAGTGAAACGTAAATGGGTGGGTGTGGGTGCACGGAGAAACGGTAGAAAGACAAGCGGGGCAGAACGCAGTTCAAACATGGGGTGACGCCGCTGACAGGAATGAGGCGTAATTCGGACATCGAGGAAACAGGGGTAGTGAAACGCCAAACGACAATGTTGGTAAGGAACAGAGTTCATGCAGGGGTTTGGCAGATGTAAATATTTGGGTAGACAGGAAACTCCGATTACATTTTCCCTTGTGTGCACATTGTTTAGGAATGATTGCGACGTCATCTGCAAAGTACAGACTTCCCTGTTCGAACAGGTCTATACCATTTCCCGGCCAAGTTGTCCTCTTGGGCAACAGAAATAATCTGAGGGGGCATTCAACATGAGTCTACTCAATTAATTTGTTCCGTGCGTACGCCAGTCACTTGTGCAGGTGTGTAGGTGTGCGTGTATAGCCTGTTGCCTTCAGCCAACTGGACCTCAGACGCACTAAGTCATAGGGGTGCAGGTGGGACGCTTCAGCTCCTACGCACGGAACAAATTAATTGAGTAGACTCATTTTGGATGCCCCCTCAGATTAATTCTGTTGCCCAAGACGACAACTTGTCCGAGAAATGGTATAGAAGGAAGACGTCACATCAGCAAAGTGGAATGAGTCGAGTATAGTGATGAGATCCATAAAAGGAAGACGCACCGAATGTGCTAACCCCAGGGGTTTTCGCCAAACGCCTGTGGTGACAAAATTAAAGACCTACATTGTCGTTCGTCGCCCTACTGGGAAATAGTAATCCCGGATGACAGAAGAGCAGACATGTTTCCGCCTAAGACGGGGCTGCATAGGCCACATATTCATTCTGCATGGTGTGATGGGACAATAGCCGTATTTCAACCTCAAAAATGCGCTCGATTCAATGGATCGATCTATTTTGCTTGAAATGAGTGGAAAAGTGTTCTCATGAACAGTTTACATTCTCTTTACTCGAACACCACAGGTCACATCCGAGTCTACGATGACTTACCGGATATGCTTCGGACAACAAGTCGCATTCGTCAGGGTTGTCTGATTTCCCCGTTTTTGTACAATTTCGTCGTGGACTCCATCATGGAGTGTTTCTTTGCGGAATCTCACGATGTAGGCGTTCAGGTCCTGTCTGGTGAAAGGTCAGTTGATTTTGATTATGCGGACGATATCGTCTTGCTGCTTGATGTTGGGGCGGTCAAAGTAACCCTAAATAACCTCTCAAGTGGTCTCATCATTTGGCATGCACTTTGCACTTTCAAACTGCAGAGTTGTTGAAGGACCACCAGCCACTCGATAACCTCTTGATCCTCGGTAGCGAGGTAAAGCGGTTGATCAACTCACTTACCTTGGCAGCTAGGACAACAACGACGGGCGCATAACGAATAAAGGCTAGAACATCCTTCTTGAATCTGCGACGTCAAAAATGGGTTTTCCTCGGTCTGAAAGGCCGCGTTTACAAGGTCTAAGTGAGGGCCGTCCGACATTATAGCAGTGAGACTTGGCCCTTTCGGGCTGAGGATAAGAGATGCCCTGAAATTCCTGATCATCGTATACTGCGGAACATTGCTGGTGTCGGATGGTACCGGCGTATCCACAACGACGATTCACGTAGATGAGCGTTAGGCATTGACAATCAGGCTAGTTGCTTAGAACAACAATTAAATTGAATACATTGTGTTGGTTTGGGATCGTGCTACGGATACCCTGTCAACAACAGAAAGTGTATCTACCAAATCGAGGCGGAAGGCAACCAACGACGCCAAGATCGAGGTGAGAGCCATCATTCCCTTTGATAAAATCATCAGCTGGCTTCGTCTTTACCTCTTCCTCTCTTGTCCACACCCCCTCACTTCGAAGTTGGCGTCGGTTGGCGCATCCCGATTGCCTGGCTGGTGTCCTAAGGATGGTGAACACGTTTAGTTGGACACACTCGCTGATATGGCTTGGAGCCGACCCCAATGGCGTTTGTGTTGTGAGTTCCTTTGTCCATCCCCCCTCCAATCATGATCTCACTTGATAGGTATAATATGACTCTCTTTTACGGCAGCCAGCTGTTAGCTCTCCGGAATGATGTCCATCCGTTACTGGGGACTCAGCGGGCGTGCCACCGTTTGTTTTCCTTTTCTTATCTTTTGTATTGAGGCACAATAGCTGAGGTGTTCTCCATCTCCAGCTAACGTGTAATGATGATGACTTGTCCACACCCCAGCGCGCAAACAACGCACATTTGGTCGCGCCGAGTCACTGCACACAGCAGAGTTCTGAGAGAACATAACAGAGGTCCAATGTCGTTCCGGAAGGGGGAGAAGACAGGCTGAGTCTAATTGTGACGAAATCCATTGGCAAAGCTGTCGAAAATATAATGCAGGACAAATTCCATGTATCGCCTAGGAACGAGTAGCAGGTCAAGCTGTGTGGCTGGGTTCGATATAAACGAGTTAATACAGATGCGTGGTGTATGGGAGTTCAGGTGGCTAACTTACAATCTCTGGAGCCATGAGGATTCGAGTCCGTGATCCAGATTAAGTTTGAGCGCGCTGAAAATATTCCGACTGGTGTAAAACAGTATGCGATTGCATAACAGCGAAAAATCAGTACTAAGTACAACTGATAAGGTATCCTTATTTCATCTATTGTATTGCATATATAATAATAATAATGTACTGCACAGACTGCGTGTGCACCACTGATTTTATGGAGTGTCTCGTTCCACAACATTACTACACACCCTGAATTATCATAATAATTCTACATGGCAGAATGAGCCCAGGTAAGCGGGATGATGACCCGATGAAAAACATAAACATCCTAGGTGAGTCGAACACTACCTACCCAAACAGGCATCCGAGTTGGGGGTTATGTGATCCGGAAAAGAGTGAGGCACATCGGCGGCTACCATCGCATCGGAAAATTTGACTGCATTTACTGATCGGTGCGGTTGCAACTCTCCCTGAGGGCAGCTGACGTTATCCCCATAAAGCATGCGAACAGCGCGTTCCACAGACATAGCCTCCAGCGGACTTGGACAAACATCAGTGATGGTTTCTAACAAATGCTGTCCCAATGGGAGCCAGGCCATGAGGAAGGCACGGAGGACACTGCGACAATTCGCACCGCGAACAGCACGAGGATCCAAGTGGATGTTCAACTTCTCAGCCATCGGGAACACTTCATCCAGATGCTTGTCAACAATCAAGGTCTAAACTGAGTGAAAGAAAATAAATCTTAGATGTTAAGAAGCAAGACACAAACAAACTGCGGTGACCAAATATGGGAAACCAGGAAAGTGGAGCGCGTCATATTGGTTAGGGTCAGGACACGCCGGGGATCATGAATGGTGAATAAATAGAACTATTCTTTTCATGGAATACACACCGTTTGCCGAGGGTTGACTGTTGGTCTAGCGGTTGGATTGGATGCCAGAGAGAGAGAGAGAGAGAGCAGACCATGGGCAACAGTTACGCAGACGAAGCAATACAACAGAGAGTAAATAGGGACACTGTATATAAAGTGTTAATCCGTTCTGCTCATATGGGCAATCGTGAAGCAGATATGCGACAGAATGAACCGCGACCCATGCAACTATTTGTGCTCTTCTCCGATGAAACTAATAAGCATGCTTCCCGACTAGTTGCCACTAGTGCGAACCAGAGTTGAAGTCTAATTTAAGCAGCCAGCTGTATTAAGCGAGGGGCATGTTAAAGTATCTGTTGTGTCTGGATGGATTGTAACACGCACTTTCAATATAAACCGCGATTCGATCACTGGGACCGCAGCTGATGTAGAAGAGTTTCTCCTATCCGACGCGTTGACCGCATCAACTAAAAATGGCAGGCGTCGAACTCTTGACCAATATGATATTAGTTGGAACCTCTACTCCATTAGTCACCAGGTAAGACGGGCAACGCTTGGCACAACGGTTAACGACTGATACTCAAATACTCACTGTGTAATGGATGTGGACCGTGATCCGCACAGAAGCGAACCCTGGTCAATTCGATCACTAGGATAGTAGCTGAAGCGTGTGGGAACCGTGTCCCGCCAGAAAACATTGTACTCCACTACGCGTTTCAACCTTGTTTGATCTCATCAGGTAGTGATAGCAGGACTCGAACCCAGGACCATGAGGAGGTTAGTTGTAAAACCCCTACCCCTTTAGCCACCAGGTCACGACAGGTAACGCTTGGCACAACGGTTATTGATGGATGGCAATCATTTGAAGTACTTGTGTGAATGTATTGTGACGGAAAATCTTAATGTGAACCGTGACCTTCGTCAAATCGGAGCAGATGTATATTGGATATTTCCCAACCGAAAACACCACACTCCGCGGCCCGTTTCGACTTTACTTGATCTCATCAGGTAGAGGTAGCAAAGACTGTGTAATTAGAGTCCGGTTGACATCCCATTGTGCCGGATTCCAGCGAAAATAGCAGAACATGCCGAGCCTTAAGGAGGTAGCAGCATCTCGTTCCTTTTGGTTGATGGTCAACTACTACATTGCATTTTTGCCGACACTGCAGTGAATTCACGTTTCCCTCAATTAGCTATTGAAAATGGATTCAATCGCGCAATGGTCCCCTGATTACCAACGTGCACTTGTGCCTCACATCAGACTTATTGTTACGTATGTACTAAGATCCTACCCTTAGAATCACTGTCGCAGCGGATGCATCCAGCTACGGTGCAACTGCTGTTAGCTCCTGCACATTTCGCGATGGAACTGAAAAGTCAATCTGCATGTCACTCGCTCACTTACACCTATTGGGAAAACGTATTCACAAACTGAAAAAACCTCTAGCCATCACTGTCGTTGTCAGTAAGTTCCACAAAGTGCTTTGTAGTCACCATTCCTCTCTGTTAACTGAAGACAGGCTACTCCTATCTATATTTGGTTCAAGGACATTCCGCTTTACCCAGCCAGTCGTCTACAGCATTAAATCAGTGTTTCGCTTGGCTACGACTGTAACATTCTTTTCTACCTAATCAGGGAATCCCAAGATGCGGAACAATAATCATCGTAGCACTTGATGTCAAAAAGATGTGTATGGTTTTTCCGGACCCTAACCGTGGAATTGCTGTTTTTGTTGCTGACATTAAGCGTATGATCCAACAAGATCAAACTCTTCAACTAGTCATCAAGTTCACTCAGTCCCAATGACCGTCTGATCTTACTTCAAGTGACACCCGGCGGTTATAGGTTAGGTGCATATCCATTTCTGTGAAGGACTCTTGCCTAGTGTTTGCTGATCCGGCTGTAGTACTCGCTTCCTCATGTCAAATGGTCGTGTGACACTGTGAGTACGGCCATTCTAAGGCCAGACGTAGGAAAGCAGTTGCTCGTAGTTATGTTGATTGAGCTGAGCAGACATTGATCATATATCGAGAATATGGTAAAGCGCTGCTCGCGCTGTCGCAAAGGATTCATTTTCGAGTCGAACAGCAGCCTTAGCCTGATCCAGATAAACCATGATCTAGAGTCCACGCATACCTTGTGGGCCCTATGGATGGAGTTGTGTGTCTTCTCGTGGACGCATATTCAAAATCTAAACGTAAAGTCATCAATCATACTTACCGCCCTCCGTCAAATTTTTGCTGTGCACGGACCCCCTGAAACTTTTGTTACAGAGATCGGTACACTGAGGATTTTTGTCGTCGGTTGAGTAATTAACACATAAAAACACTCCCGCATCTGCAAAAGTCAAACGGTCACGGTCGAGTGTTTCACCGACATGCTTGAGAGAGCGCTGTCAAAGGATTGGGGGAGGAGGAAAGGTATGACAGAGGATATCTTGTGGATTTTCCTCACAAGGCCATCTCCAGAAACCAGACTTCAGCCGAGTTACTCATGGGTCGCAAGCTTAGGACCATATTTGATGGTCTCATTCTCGGCAATAATGTTATCCCACATCGGAACCTACATTTATGCAGACTTTGTATTGGAGGGACCGTGAATGTCCATGATTATCATGTTGGATATTCTAAATAGACAGAAGACTTTCTCAGAGGGAAAGGAGGAAAGACAATGTTTGATATTTAGGTTGATGAAAATATTCGGGTCCGACATCAAATCGGCTACAAAAGAGGTACCCACTGCTCACGATCCGACCACGTTCGCCGATCATCAGATCGAATAAACTGGACCTCAGCAGTAAGCAGATGCCACTGAACGTAACGTGCAGGTCCTGCGAAAAGCGGGTTTTTCCAGGAATGCTACCATATATATATATATATATATATATATATATATATATATATTGGATACTTGTCCAATAAACATTTGGCAGAGTGCCACAACACATGAGTAACAATAACAAGAGAGTGAGTAAGAGGAATGGAAACAAAGTTCTGCGTTGTGTGGGCATTGAGCTTCCCGGTTGCTCAGGAATGCTACTATTATTAATAATAATAATAATAATAATAACAAGAAATAGCTTGAAGTGTGTGGAAGAAATGAAGTACACATCAGCAGATGACTGTTCGCAGTCAGCTTCCATCCAGACAGTCTTCTACGCAGTTGGAAAGGCACTAGACAGATGTTTTGCGCTATCGCGGCCTGTCAGTAGTGCGTACACTCCTGATCCAAATTAGAAACTGGATCCATACTCTCTCGGTATCAGTGGCTTGAGACACCAGATCAGGAGTGAGGTGACGGCAAGGCGTCATTGGGGAGCCGGGAATACGCAAAACACTAAGGAGTCCCACTAGGACGGAACGACCATCCGGACGCGTGAAAGAAAGTCTGGCTGAGAGATATCGAAGTACGAAAAATCCTTTACTCATAACAATGACACAGTCATTATGCTGAAGTCCTCCAACGGGTGATTGGGTTTCGATCGCTTGCCGCTGATTGCAGCGAGTGTACATGTGTGTGCCGCAGTGCATGACCGATTACAATTTTATTTTTAAGCTACTTCAGGAGCAGTAAGTTCAATTCCGAAGGGGACAGAAATCGTGGGATAATACTATGAATGTCCTAGTGTGGGTGGCGTTGATCCAGGGATTAGATTATGGTCGATCGATTTAGCTTTTGCGAATGTTATACCACGAGCAATCGATCGAGGCGCACGCGCACTGCGCAAGAAACCCACGCTATGCCAGTCACGCGAAATAAAAATAAAAGGACAAGAAAATGAAACGGAGATAAAATCAGAGAACAGAATAATATCAGCACTGAAAATCGACGGGAAGATAGGTGAAGGAAATCGTGACAGATTTGAAGCTGCAGACAAAGCGAATGAAGTCGATTTTCAAAAACTCTGACCCTTGGTGCCGATGGTACATCCTCAAACGAGGCATTCTAGGAAGCGAGTACCCTACGTGGTAATCGCATATCACCCCCGCCTCAGATCGTACTATGGAAAAACATGGAACATATGACTATTTTGAGAAGACTCGTCGTAGCCAGGCTCAGACAGACAGCCACCACACGTCCAGGAAAGCATTTCTTCCTATTAGGACTCGTCAGTAGCGCTCATCCACCGCATGCGAACTCATAACCTTACTCTTACGTGCTGGTGACGGCCGTCTAGCGCTTTCTGAATGTGTGGTGGCTGTCTGCCTGAGTTCAATGGCGCCGAATCTTCTCACACCCATAAAACAATAAATCCGCCTACTACTCAGTAATAACATATGAATACACGTGTGATTTTCAGGAGTCCGTCGGAAGAATTCAGTGTAATGCGATCAGTCGCAGTTTGGCTCACATCTGGTGAGAACACCGCGTGAGTAACGAGCGTGTTCGACGCTTTGTTTACGGTACAGAAAAAGGAACTGAACCGCTCAGCACCGTTATTTCACGCACCAGGCTCCGATGGCTGGGCCACGTGTTGCGCATGCCAGCCCACCGACTTTCACGACGTGCGTTGTTTGCTCACCGGGGATGTGGATGGAAGAAGAGGAGGGATGGCCAAGCGATGACTTGGTCCAGAGGAATGAAGGCCCTCACTTCGGAGCTGGCCTCGGTTGGAGCGTCACGGCTCCCTGGTTGGGGTCCGAAAGAGGATGAACATATTTGGCTGGATACACTTGCTGACATGGCAAGGAGCCGACCTCAGTGGCGTTAGCGTTGTGAGTTTCTTTATTCCACTCCATCCCTCTTAGCCTTCCCCTCCATCTACGATCTCATTTCGTAGAGTAAAACATAATAATTTTTCTTTTTGCCTAGTAGCCGACTGGTAGCTTACCGGAACGTTGCCTATCCGTTGCTGGTAGCTCAGTTGGCATGCAACTGTTGTATTTATTTTCCTTTTCCTTTATGTATTGCGGCACAGTAGCTGAGGTGTTTCCCACCTCTAGCTGACGTGTATAATAATAATAATAATAATAATAATAATAATAATAATAAGTCATCTTCCATGTGTTTTCTGACAATAGAGTGAGATCAGATGATGTAACCAGCTGAAGACACACAGAAGGGTTGTGAATATGCACAGTCACGTACATCCTCAGACATTGTGCGTCCTTGTCAAAAGCAGTCACCACAGGATGTAACTACATAAATTTCTGTCTGGCTCTTCTGTACTGCCCTGACTGAGTCTTCTAAGGTCTGCCACTGTCCGAGCAGTCACGAGCCCCGTTGTGTTCTCGTTTGTGAAACTTCTGACAGTGTTGCTTTTTGAATGCGCAATCGGACATAGTGCCGACACGGCACTGCCAACGGCCTGTAAAGGGTCCGTTAAATGTGCCTCCTCTAAAAGGACTAATGTGCCCCAGCGGGGTCAAATTTTTTGTCACAGCACGCAGTCACTGAAACCAGGAACTGCCTATCATCCGATCATGCCAGTATTGCGCTTCAAAGTAAAACGCTGGCATTCAAAAACGACTGTTTTCAGGTTCATGATAGGATCCCGCTCTATGATACTGAGCGAGCGGGTACGAATATCCCAGTCTGGAGGCGACTGAAAGCCAAAAACAGATACCAGACACTAGAATTGGTCTTCTGTCCTGTTCTTAGGCCTAAAATCCTCATACTAACGTCAACTATGCTCGAGGAAGACATAAAATTGTTAGAAACGTTTCTGAGAAGCTTCAAATACGAATACCACAAGTGAAAAATAGAAGACTCTTCCATACAGAATTTTTTCTACAACCCAAGAATTTTGTCAAATTTGAAATTCTTTGCATTAGTATGAGGAATAAAAAATTATCTACCTTCTAAGCATCAGCTAGCTGTTTAATAGTATCTTCCTACCTCCTGAACAAGATTGGTAAATGCATCCGGCCACAAGATCAAAGCTGAATTCCGAAAATTGTATCCACGGATGACTGCTTTTTGCCTGTTGAGAAAGACTGAACTGTTAGCTTTTACGTCAGTGATTCAATGAGGTGCGTCAGTGATTCTTCAGATAACTTCAGTCGCTGTTGCAAGGTCAGTTCTTCTATTGAAAGTGGCATATTTAGGAACAATTCTCACTTTTCTTCGTCGCCAGAAATCAGTTGTGACGCGTGACCAATCGTTAGACCATGCAACAATTAAGCCCAAATCAATCGAAAAAGAAGTGGAATAACCTTAAACAGGAACAAGTTTTTCCAACCAGACGGAAAAGGGGTCACAGTGTAAAGAAATCAATGGTCGATACAACTATTCCGTAGAAATCTTAGAAAACTGTCATTGTAGCGAAATGCCATTCCCTAGGCAGTAGCACTTGATATAGGATTAACTGATCAGTTTCAGTTAGGAAGGTCGATGAAAACGGCATTATCTGACTCGTTGGGTCTGTTTACCTTGACAATAACTTTCCTCATCTAAGAGAGTGGATCACTGAAGCGCTCCCGTCTAGTGGAGCCCAGCGGAGATTGCAATCCCTTTTCCAAAAAGTGTACTCAAACAGACTGCGCTAGACATAGACGGGATAGTCTAGCTTGCATCGCTCGCCGCTCTGTATTTCTCTAGCACGCGCAGCCTGGTACGCGAAAGGCAAGCTGAGTTCCGCTCTGGTCGGAATATTAGGTCGATGACATCTTCACGATCCGCCAGATATCGTCAAATGTTTGGCCGGCCAACGATCGTTGTGTTCTTGGATACAGAGAGCCGCGTTCGGCTCAGTGAACTAAGTCACTCGATAAGAAGTGCTAGAGTAGTAGGTTCACATTCTGCAAGCCATTGATTCTCGAACCTCAACTCGAGTGCGTAATCTCGACATCAACAGTGGGGTATGGAACAGTGTTACTGAACATCCAGCATTCCTGTTCAACGTCGCCACATGAACGACATCCTGGAGAGTGCTCTGGACAACTATGAGCACAACAAATTAGACCTACTACCAGGGGACTGCCGGCTGGCTTGCCGAACAACCTCCTCGTGGTGCCAGCTGGGTGGTTCGGCATTATCCCGTTCCAGCAAATGGTTCGGCGACAGCGTTCCAGGACGTGGTGGGTTTTCGCTTGGCAAGCGTTCTCCCTATGAAAAGCCACATACGTCCGTTTACAGACACTGGGAAGTGGCGGACGTGACACGTCACTAAATAAAGTCACTGCCCCTTGCTTCATCCTGGCGAAGCATTGTATTCCGAAACGTTATGCTGTAATTCTGGGGAGCATTGGTCCCCTGTTTGACAAAAGAACAAACGAAAGGCGTATGAACTGAGCAATCGATCACCGGCTCCAAATGGGCGCGATTCCCTGAATTCGCTCCGCTGCTTTGCGGGCAGGCTATTCAGCCAAAGGCTCGGGGTGTTGTCTCCTAAGTCAACACCCTACTTCGGCTTGGGCAACCGGGTAGTATCTCGCCCTCTGACGAAACCATGGACATTGTTGTGTTGTGTTTTGTCTTACTATATCAGTACCTTCTTTTGAGTCCCATGATTTCTGATGGCTCTATGTCTATTCGTAGACCTTTGCAAATATATACAGGGGATTGCCTTGAGAATTTGGAGTACACAGGCGACATTGTCATAATTTGCGATTTCTCGCAGGCCACCCAAATTGTATTGCGTAGGTTGGTGTCTATCCACCAGTTCGAAATGACCTTCACGCCGTCGAAGTGTGAAGTCTTTCCGAAGGGCTGGCTAAGCGTCGTTCCTACTTTCTGCATTTCAGGTGCTTTGCGACGCCCGGGCTGAGGGTGCAAGGACCATGGGCACGCCTGGCGGGAAACCCTTTGGGACATGGCAAGAGCAGGCACCCAATGTCAGGTGTTGACCACCGCAGGGTTAAAAGATGGATGTCAGTCGTGGTTGAGATGATGACCTCCGGTCTTTTCCACTGTCTCACTACGGGACAGGAATATCGCATAGAAGCATATTTCCGACGTGAAGTTATAAATATAGTTGTTTCACTCCACAGCAGGTGCTAAAGCAACGTCACACTTACCACAGACCTACTAAACCCCTGTTCTTTGACTTTAAGATATCACCCGATTTGTCGATCGTTTCCTCCAATTTGATGTTCTTACTCTAAGTGGTCCATTAGAATATGCAAATATTTGATGTGTCCTGTACTATAAGGCCACATCTTTTGTCAGATTTGTGTCGAAATCAAATCAGAAATGACCGCAAAATGGATTGATTTTGAAAAAATGAACATAATAGCAGTTTGACCATACACAGTTCATAGACAATAGTGAATCGATTAAAATAGATGGCGAAATAAGATGTACGAGCCAATGTTCCACCGCCGACGAGTCGTGAAAATCTCGTTTCATCAGCAATATTGTATAGATGAGAATTGCTATATAGCCAGGATGCCAAAACCTAGACGGAGGCGCGTCTCGAATCCAGAGTGCGGAGATTGGGTCCACACGTGAAATAAAGCATCGAGCGAAGGAGTGACCCAAAACGAAGTCCACGCAAAGTGAATGAATATCGAAAACACACAAGGAAGAGTATGAACAGGGCATATGCGTAATCGGATCAGTATGCAGTGAAAAGATCGAAACGTTTTGGTAAGGAACAAAGGCGAACATTCATGAGACCAATTCACCCACCTGATAAGCTTTCCACAACGGTTCCAACACCAACTGAACGAAGACCGGCTTTCGCCCATTCGAATGTGCATCCGACTTGAACACAGTACGTCCACCACAACCTTCATTCGGGCTTCGACTGATATAGTAATCTCCCCATAAAAATTTGTCTAGCTCATCCACAGAAACATTCAACTTTTCCGACCACAAAGTCAAGAAATCAGATGGCCGGAAGCCCCATGCGTCTGCGGCTGAGGCGAACACTACGTTTCCACGGTCTGGAGAGAAATAAAGTTTGGAATCGTCGGTTTGGCTCAAATCGTCAGATATAACATACGATATTGCACCAATATCATCGGAAGCGGGCTTGGAAAGAGAACGGAACAAAAATTAATGCAAAGTTATGATAACGGCAGTGGAAAAGAGTAATATGTGATGTAAACTGAGATATATATGATAAAAATTGTGGGAAAGCATGAAAGGGCCTGATAAGGTAGGAAACGCATTGGCAATGGAATATGATTCATTCTTCGGTCGCACCAGGCTAATCAGTGTGACTGTCAGAAAACTGTGTGCCACTACTCTCTGCTCCCCAAACCTCCCACAACCCCGTAGATTCGTCGATCTCACTTGCTGAACGACCTTTCAAGGGGGCCACTATCAGTACACTTTACTCTAGGCTTACCCTAATTGACGTCATGATGGTCTGCACGTGTACGTATGCGTTCATCCATGCGAAACTAACGAGTCATTGGTGGCTGCTGGACTCGTCACCAAGGACTCTTCTTCCTTTTTTATGTAAAATGGGGTAAGGCTGTTGGCTCCAAGTGTCTAATTTCGCATCAACAGAGCAAAGGAATGTAAACCATTAGGATCTATGAGTCGAGGGTTTAGCAAATGACAGCGTCAGTCACGAGAGGTAACCGACCTCGCTGGAAGTGGACCAACTGGTGACAATTATAGGATGCTGTAAACTGAGACCCCTTGGAAATGTCCCTGGATGAGGCTAGGTGATACTCCGCGGTTTCCAATCGGAGTTGACTTAGTCATCTCACGGGACCGCTCCAACCATCAACGTCATTGGTGTTGACCAGAAACGAAATTCTGTTGTCCGTACCACGTGCTGCTGATGCACTTATCCACTCGCCAAATGAGTAACCCTCATTGTAAACAATGATCGCAACAGGTCCAATCGCTGTCACATACAGATGAGCGATGAGCTGTCAACAAAATGCGTCCCTGAAGGTCACTGAGTTGAGTTATGCACTGAAATAATAAAGATATACTCTATCTTCAGATATTGCCCATCTAAGTCTTCTGTTAAGGTCCGAAATCGACCGGGGCAGATCACCTTCCGGAATACTGAGACAATAAATACCTAGGGCCATGGACTAGGTAGCACCGGAAGTATAAAGAAATTAGTGCTTGTCAATACGGACGTGGAAGTGCAGATGAAATCTCTCGAAGGACTACCTCGCATGGAAGTATGTTCCCAGGGGACGGTTTCATGGATGGCCGTATTATTTTACTTTAACTGATGACGATTCTTACAATTATTCTTACTATCAGCTTTTCATTGCAATACTTTTAATTGATAGAAAACTCCCAACACTTCAGATGAAACATTGTTACACTTAGACAAGTTTCTTTACTATGTGATTATGAGGTACAATATGACCAGGCCATCCAATCGGTCTGTGTCTCGTAATGTTGAGAAATAGATCATTTATTTATTAAGGTACTTCTCAGCCAGCTTCCAAATCAGATAGTTGTCCACACGCCCGGAAAAGCACTAGACTGCAGTTTCAGCCTGTTGGGCATCATCAGGAGTGCGCATTCCTCGGATCCGTCAGGATTCGAACCCAAGACCATCAGCGGCTTGAACCGCCAGTCATCGGATTATGCCACTGGGTCAGGGCGGACAACATCGGACCGTCATGATGTACAAGCTAACTGCGATATAGCGCGTCTTAACCTCTACTGCCATGCAAGTTACGAATGTTGCAGAGGACAGGAAAAGAAAGAAGAAAGGCATCAGCAGTACGCAGGTACGCAGTAGCAAAGCCTCGCTGCCGCGCAACCACTACCAGTCGCACGTGGGCTCATGATACTGCGAGGGTCGCATGGTCCTCTACGCAGGCTCGAACCCGCGACTTTAGGATTACAGGACAAGCTCGTTACCTTTAGGTTACGAGTTTGAGATCATGAGCGAGGCAGTTATAACACCCTAACTATCTTGAGTGCAACTAGTAGACACAGCAAAATCGACTTCAGAAAGAGTGAAGAGCCATCACTGTCTATTCGCTAAGTCCAACCCGTCAGTTATGACCGATATGTGATTTACGCATCACTCATATTGCTACTGGTAATCGAGCAAGAATGAATGAGATGAAATCTGCAGATGGAGTAACTAAGAGCCAGAAGTAACGGAGGGGATGCCAATGGCGTTATTGGCCTTGTGACGACGCCGTATACAATAGGACATTTAACCACTGATACTGATTAGAAGCAGCGAGTAGAGCATACACTGTGTAGCTGCATCAATTGTCGCTCTTGGACATTAACGTATTAATTATCGTTCCGCTCTCTATATTTTGCCTCTGCAAAGTGTTTGTCTAGAAGCTTCTTAAATTCGGCCACTGAATTCGCCTCTATTACCGTCTGCGGCAGGTTGTTCCAGGTATTCACCACTCTACGTTCGAAACAGAGTTGGTGAGCTACCCGCTTCAACTGCGGTACGATAAGTTTGTACCGGTGTCCTCGCGTGCAGCTTGGTGTGCGCAGATGAAGCAGTTGTCTCAACATGGGGTAATCACTCAGATGTAATATCCGGTGCGTCATGATTAGGTCAACCCTCAGCCGACGATATGCTAGGGTGTATAGCCCTAGTTTCTTACATCGGTCTTCATATGGCATACCTCGTAAGTTGGGAATCAGCCTGGTGGCTACATGCTGCACTGGCTCAAGCTTTTCTACTTCGCCCAGCGTGATGGGACAATATGCGGGAGAGCCGTATTCTATCATTGGTCGTATTATCGTGACGAAGAGGCGAGTGGCCTGCCCAAAGAACAGCATCCATTACAGTGACAGGTACCAACACTACTTGGTCCTACGGCGAATTTCCCAGTTGAGGGACCACCCGCCTAGGCAAAGCATTGGCAAACGATGCAGACCGATGCAGACGCATCGTAGGCATGCAGGGCACACCACTAAGACCGCGGAAGCGATTAAAGCACATTAGGCGGTCCAATGGGGCCCCAGTAGCCAAACTCTATGGGATGAATTTCAGCGTTACTTACTCGGCTCCCGCAACAAACATGAGTGATTTAGCGACAACATAGGTATTCAAACAAGGCTGGCGTTTCAAATGTACCCACCAGATTCTTGTAAACTTATCCACCGACTAATAAGCCATATTCGGCTGTCTCCATAAATGAGCGGGACGTTGTAAAGCCAAACGTTCCCTACGTATGCGTGCCGTAAGCTTCCCAGTCATGCAACCAGCAGTGGTGGTAGAGCTGCCCAGATGTGTAAAACCCATAGACCGATTGGAATGGCCTTCTCACAGATGCGAAAGGCCAAAAATATGACGGGCGCAGTCATGTAAAACAGTATTTCGCATTTTGCAGGCTCAAGGTTAACGCCAAGACATGAAGCGCTATGCGTCGGATTATTTAATAATACCTGAACAGTAGGTGGGTCTCGCATAAAAACACCTAAGTCGTCTATGTACACCGGTACTCAGTACCAACGCTTGGTTGCTGTGCAATTACTACCAGTCACAGGTGGACTAAGGATACCGCTGCGAGGGTCGCATGGTTTTCTACACAGGCTTGAACCCGTGCTTACGGATTACAAGGAAGGTTTGTGTTCCTTAAGGCTACGGGCCAGCTATATCTGGATGGCAAACGGCTTGAGCGCCCACGACATCCGCATGATCAAGATACTCGTCGAATCAGCATACACAAATCGTGAATAAGGAATATACCAATGTGGAAGGAGGCCCCCATCGAAAGTACGATGTACTGCGGTACAACAGCCAAGATAATTACCACCTGTAGCTAACTTGTATAACGATGATGAAGTATCGTGTGGTATCAGTTGCAAAGTTCCTTGCTCGTTAGCCTTGGAAGGAAATTGCAACCGGTGAAAAACAAGAAGCAAGAGCAGTGTTGAAGGGATCTTGTGAGCAAATGACCGTCTTCGAATGACCAAAGAAAGGGGTTTGAACGAAGACGCTAGCGCCTAGCCATTAATGAGGACCACATCCAGGTTGGTGATGCCTGGACAGTTCAAGTGGAAGATCCAAGGTGATTGATACATGTGTTCCGATCGTATCACATGCAACACTTGCGACCACAAAGTTATTAACAACCCTGAATGACACAGTATAGCAGTATAATGTAGTCGGACCGCTGATGATCTTACAACATGTAAATAGGTGGGAAAGTGATAAGGGTTGTTTTTATGACCGTTGTTTCGCCCTCTAACCCTTAAATCGACCTATGCAAG